AATAGAATAGAATAGAATAGAATAGAATAGAATAGAATAGAATAGAATAGGAATCCCCACCCACGCCTGCCTCCCCTTTATCTGCACTCCACCTCACAGCTTATTTTTGGCTAGTCTGTGGCCTTTTTCGGCCTCCCAGAGCTTTGAGGAAGGCTTCTGCAGGCCGAAAACTAGGCCCGTTTCATCACTGCTGGTATTTCTGGAAAAAGTGACAAAACGGGCCTAGTTTTTGGCCTGAAAAGCCTGCAGAAGCCTTTGTCAAGCCTCTGAGAGGTCAATAAAGGCCTCAAACCGGCCGAAAATCAGCTGTGAGGTGCACGCATGCGCAGTAAAGTAAGTTTTCCTGCAGCTCACATGCCATAGGTTCGCCATCATTGCCCTACACCTCTTCAGACAAATGGCTATTCAACACCTTCTTAAAAACTTTCAATGTTGGAGCATTCACAACTTCTGGAGGCAAGTTGTTCCACTGGTTATTTGTTCTCACTGTCAGGAAATTTCTCCTTAGTTCTAAGTTGGGCCTTGCTAAAGGGCTAAACATGGGCCTTCTCCAGGGAAATAAGACGAATCTCTGGCCCAGTTCCCTTCCTTCCTTACTCGCTGCCATGGGAGCCCGAGACCCCCAGAGAAAGCAGGAGGCCTCAAAAGAACTCTGCAGGTGGATGCAAATGGCTCATCACCCAAAAACCCCTTTGCTTAACCAGAAGTCCTTCCAAATGGCTCCAGCAGGCTCCAAGAAAGGGCTGGCTGAGACCCCCAAAGAGAAATCCCACCCAGCAAAGGGGGGGGTTTTGTACAATAAACCTGCCAATTCCTTAGCGCTGAAAGCCACTTCTTGACTTCCCAGGAGAAAGAGAAGATGAATCCGTACCAGGATTTAATAACCGACACGACTCAAGGTAGCCAGTTTGCCCTACCTGCAGGACTCTCCAAACTTGGCAACTTTAAGACTTGGGAGAGTTCCAGTCCCAGAATTCCCCAGCCACCAATATTATTAACTCCAGTTTCTCCTGCAAAAGGCATCCAAGCTTCCTTCCTAAAGGGCATCAGGGAAGAAAAAACTTGGTTTGTTTTCTTCCGAAGGTAGACAGACTACCGGCTCAGGAATTCTAGGAGTCCACAAATTTTAAAATTCAAAATTTAAGTTTTAGTGACCTCTGGTCTAGTGGTTAAAGGCATCAGGCTAGAAAAGCAGGAGACCCTGAGTTCAAATCCTGCCTTTAGCCATGAAAGTCAGCTGGATGATTTTGTCCAGTCCCCCTCTCCGTCTCCCTCTCTCCAACCCACCTCACAGGGTTGTTGCTGTTGTGGGGAAAAAGGAGGAGGAGGAAAGTGTGTTGGATATGTTCACCGCCTTGAGTTATTTGTAAAAAATAATAAAGGTGGGATCCATATTAGGTAAATAAATAAATCATTGTTTGTTTGAGAACATTTGTTTTCAACCTTTCAGACGTTGGGTTTGAAAACAAAAGATCTTTGTTTTCACAGTGAAATTTGCTCTTTCCAAAAAGTTAGAACTTTCCCAACTTCTGCAGGCTAAAACGAAGGAGAAATTTCCTGACAGTTAGAACAATTGATCAGTGGAACGACTTTCTCTCCAGGAGTTGTGAATGCTCCAACACTGGAAGTTTTTAGGAAGTGGTTAGATAATCATGTGTTATGTCTCACTTGTACAAAAGAGGTGAGAAGTCCAAATTTCCAACTGAATACAAACAAGCAAGCAAATCCAGTAATTATAGAGTTAACTCCTTGAGCCTATAAAGTTCTTGGCAGTCTCACACCAAGTCCGACAAGAAAGCAGGAATATAAATCACACAAGCTGTCACCACACAGGATACTCCGGAGCTCCTCTGAATAAATCACACCTTGTCCCGAACAAGTTCCCAGAGCGAACACACCCACTTTTATTCCCTGTGGGGCGTGTCAGTCCCTCAACTCAGTCTCTGATTCGTCCCTTCTTTCTGCACTGCAGCTCACACTTTTGCCTGCGATGCTTCCTCGCATCAAGCCAGCATTCCTCTGCTTGATTCTCAGTCAGAGACTCTGATACGCCCTCCTCCTTTTCCTGATTAGCCTCAGGTCTTCCCTCCCGGTTATCTGCCGACACCTGAGACACAATCAGGGAGGAAGGCATTGCTGAAGAGGAAGGTCCTGGGGAGGAAGGCATTTCCAAAACCTCCTCTTCCCCATTGTCCGAGTCTTCGTCCTCTAACAAAGCAGGCTCAAACCTCAGAGCCACAACAATCATGTGTCTGAAGTGGTGTAGGGTTTCCTGCCTAAGCAGGGGGTTGGACTAGAAGAACTCCAAGGTCGCTTCCAACTCACTCTACCCATTTCCTCTCACACATGGCCAATAAAGCTACTCTATCTCTACCCTACCTCTACTTCCACCCTACCTCTACCTCTACTCAACTCTACCTCTACTAAACTCTAATTCGACTCTACCTCTGCTTATCTCTACTCAACTCTACCTCTACACTACTCTACCTGTACTCTACCTCTAGCTCTACTCTACCTCTACACTACTTTACCTCTACTCTATCTCTACCACTACTGTACCTCTACTCAACTCTACCTCTATTAAACTCTAATTCGACTATACCTCTACACGACTCTACCTCTACTCTATCTCTACCACTACTCTACCTCTACTCAACTCTACCTCTACACTACTCTGCCTGTACTCTACATCCAGCTCTACTCTACCTCTACATTACTCTACCTCGACTCGGCTCTACCTCGACTCTATCTCTATTGTAGCCTCTGCGGAAGTCCTGGGCCTCCCGGGGAAACCTGGAACTCCCAAGCCAATCAACCTCGGGATTTTTACTCCGGGGTGAGCGCGGAGGGGGGTGCAAGGGGGTGTGTGTCTCCAAACCCGAAGGGGAAACGGCCCTACCAAGTGTCCCAGAAGCCCTCCGTACTTGAACTCCCAGACGGGAGCCTGCAAGCGGTACACGGCCAGGGCGTCCGTCTCCC